GCGCTGAGCCGACAAACAGCTGATCAGCTGTTTGTCAGCTCAGCGCGGCAGCCATGTAAATTTAAATGAAGCCGCGATTATTTAAATCACGGCTTCATTTCCCTTTGCCAAATAAACAAATCTACATGGCTCCGTCAATGGAGCTATGTAGTTTAGATGTACCCAGGGAGAGCTAATATGTAGCAGTGATTTGACTTTTGTAATGTCATTGCTTATGTTGCTCAGAGCTTGTGCAATCCTTTAGAATGTACATATAGTAGGGCTCTAACTACTGTAGAGCTTTTTGCTTTATTTAGAAACAAAATTTTACAATTCCTCTCTTACAGCAAAGAAAAAATTGCCTGGATGGGTGTAATGCCATTATTTTTCATTATTTAGAATACTGACAGCTTGGAGTTTCATGCAGAGAGCCTCCCCCCAAATAAAACAATACTGTCTAGAAAGTATTTGCAGATTGCCATTTCCCCGTGTGCTTTCACTTTGGATAGGAGCCTAGGGTTACTGGCTTTGTCTTCTGACTCAGTGTGCTGGGAATACCCTCTGCTTCTGCCAGGCTTATATGGCCTGGAGAAGTCTCAGATCTGTCAAAAAGATAAGCCAGAGAAAATGCTGTTTTCAATGGCTTATTTATTGTAACAACAAGCCAACTATTGCTGGCTACAGCTGTGGATGGAGGTGAGAAAAACCACTGAAGAGGCAGAGTATATGGGAAGAAAGCACCAGACCAGTCAGAACTAAGGAACTACCTAACACTTTAGGGGACTTGGTTAATATAATGTGGCCTAACATGATGACTAATTTCAGAGAGGTAGCCATGTTAGTCTGTTTCAGCAAAAAACAACAAGAGGTCTGCTGGCACCTAAAAACTAACAATATTTTTAGGGCATAAGCTTTCATGAGTTGCAAATCACTTCATCAGATACACGAAGGAAAGAATCAGATGGCAGGAATACAGAGATGGGAGTGTTACATCAGTGCAAGTTCAGTAAAGATGGATGTGGCTCACGTCTAACAATGACAAGAAAAAACTTCAGGGGGTAGCCGAGTTAGTTTGTACAGGATAAACTTAAAAAACAACAAATGGTCTGGTAGCACTTTATAGACTAACAAAACATGTGGATGGTATCATGAGCTTTCATGGGCACAGCCCACTTCTTCAGTTGAGAATACTTAAAGGTGAAAATTACTTATTTTAGTGAGAGAGTCCATTCCCAGTCTCTATTCAGACTCATTCTGAATAGCTCAGCAGTTGCACATTGCAGTCTGTTTTTGAAGGTTTTTTTGTTGTTTGTATTTGTTTGTTTTTTTGCTTAAAATGGCAACTTT